TTAAAATAGTATATTTAACCATTTTAAGTAATTTTTAAGACTTTTTGCTACTTTATAGAAGATTTTGGGAGCTTGTTGTAAATAAATCTTTAAAAATGGATGTGGTTGATAAATCTAGTAATCGATTTACTGCTTATAAACTCACACAGATATAATTTATTTAAAAATTGAAATAGTAAAATAAAATGTAACAAAAGCAGGATAGGAATTGTACCTCTCAAGGTCAAATTTTTTTTTTTAGTATCCTTTGTATTGATTTGTTCAATAAACCAAAACTTTTACATACTTTTGAAGAAAGACCCCCATAAGAATAAAATATTCAAGAATCTCAATGTTAAATAGTAGAAGTTGAATTCGATGTTAAACATCCTATAAAAATCTAATAAATTATCACATTCAAGCAAAACAAATAAATATACATAAATTATAACTTCTTTGCCAATATACAAATTAAATTCTTTGTAATTGTTTAAAGTGATGTTGAAACAAAATTCAATACTCTGATACAAATTTTTTAATACCAATGCTTACTTGCAAAATTAAATTTTATAGAGATAATTTAAATTATGTAGAATTTTTAAATTCAGATAAAAATAAAGTCATGCATTCTTTAAATTCTAATCAAAAATGAAACATTTTAAAAATAAAAATAAATTTTTTCCTGATCCAAATAGCAGAATCATAATCCTGATATAAATTAACTTAATAATCCTGATATAAATTAACTTAAAACGTAAAAACGTTAAAAAAAAAAAATTATTTCATGAATTATTCATAAAATAGTTTAAAAATTCCTTTTCAAATAAATAGCGAAATTATAAGAAAACAATTTAATTCACTCAATCTGTATAAGCAGCAAAGAAGTTATTTAAAGGTGCAAGAATTTGCAAAGGTGCAAGGTAAAATATACATATTTCAAACAGCACACTATCAATAAATTCTTGACAATAATATAATTGCAAAATATTTCTTTAGATAAAACTTTTTAATTTAAATTAGAGCATATTTTCTTAATTATTTGTATAAATATTAAATTTTATATTAACTTCCTATTTCATTTAAGTTTTAAAAGAATAATGTTAGAGTGATCTTGCAATTTTTGGTTCTACTTTTCTGAGCATTTACTGCAAATAACTAATGAAGTCCTTCGTAACAACATCTTTACTGACTCCAACGAGTGTAACACCTGAAACATATTCTTGCATCACTGAATTTAAAGTGAGTCCACAAATGACAACTGCATGAAATTGCATGTTTTTGCTGGCATAAAAATTAATATACAGTAGTAGATTCCTAACAATCTCAACTTTTGGCATCAATATTAAAAAGACCCAAGCATGGATTAAATGCACTGAGTGACAGAAATACAATTTATTCAATAGATAGGTGATAAAAAGTAGAAAACCGCAAAGAAAGATAAAGCGACTTGTATGATACTTTAGTTGTTTATCTAGATAATAATTACTCAAGCATCAAGAGAGTTTTCTATTTCTTGATTAAAAACTAATTTAAACAAGATATTTAAAAGAAATCAATAATTTTCAATCCATTGTAATACAATTAGCTACAAATGAGCTCAATGGCTAAGAGAATATAAAACAAGTAGCAGATAATAAAAATGTTCTTAAGTCAAAATACTTTAAGAGAACTATTATAACATTTGACTTTCATTTTATTTAAGATGAGACACATATACAGTTACAGATAGCAGTATTAAATAAAGTTTCACCCTAAGTCCCGGGCAGAATAATAGAGAGAAACCGTAATTGGTACTTACTAGAAAAACATAAATAATAATTTAACATTAAAGTAATTCTTAATCCAAATAAAAGTTGATAATTTATTTAAATAATTTAAAATAAATAAATTAAACAACTAAAAAGACTTTTAGATTTAAAAGAAAGAGATACAATTTCATTAATAAAAAATTATTTTATCAAAAATAATGATGTAAAAAAAATAATAATATGTCGAAACATTTATTTTAATAATTTGAATAGTTTTGAAAATATATAAATAAGTGTCAATAAAGAAATTATTGATAGTGAACAGTATGAAACAAATTTTAAAATGTGAATAAAATGTTAACAATAAAATAATCACAATAAACTTAAATTACTTTTATATATGAACTGATTGCAGCAAAATGAATATGAAATTTAATTATTTTCATGCATTAAACAAGACTTAAATAGTTACTTAATCTACTGCATAATTTGATTTCTTGAGGACAGAGGCGTAATGAATAAAATATATAATAAAACTTAAAAAAACTAACTAAAATTTTCAGATATTGAAATATTTATTTAGAATATGAAAGATTTAAAAACAAATTTTCTATAACCCATGTTGAAATCCTATCTGGGTTTACAACTTTCAAAGTTCAACTCCGTAGCCTTGTTCTTTTGAATACAACACAGAAGACAAGGGAACTCCTGAATCAAGCATTGAGAGAAACTAGCCATCGTGGAGGACATTTTGATTGAACTAACTCGCATTTGCGCACACAGAGAGGAAAACCACAAAAGTCTCCTATGGCCAGACAGCAAGGGAACCCTAGCCATGATCCGTCTACCACAAAGGATATTTTATGTCAGCATTGTGAGAGCAGTCAACACTGCACGCAGCGAGCTAAGTGTAAAATTCATATCAACCAGTCATTGATGGGATTCAAACCTACGTCACCTCATTTAATGCAAAAGCTCTATCCGCAGCTCAGTTTTTAAAATTTGTTACATTTTGACTAATGTTGCTGTTGAAATCAACCTAGCAAAAGTCTTGCTGATAAAAAGTAAAAGACCAAATAGCCAATTTCAAAGGGAAAAAAATCCCAACATATCTCTAAGTTTCATCATCATAGTTGGACAGACAGCCCAATGTGGGCCAATGCCTCCCTATCTCTAAGTTTAATTTAACGTAAATTAAAGGCAATCTTTATAATTCTCAATTATGTAGTAACTAACTGGTTGTTGAATGCAGAAGATTACCTTGCTAGTTGCAGTTGTAATTGCAGCTAGATATAAGTTTTTAAATAATTATAAAAATTTCCTGTATGTATATCAAGCAATAAAAAATGAATACAATAAGCTTATTCTTTTAGATTTATTTAATAAACTTATTCTTTTAGATTATTTTTAATGTTCTCTAGATGAACGTTATGATTTTTTTTAGGTAGTCTTGAATTTCAGGCATTTAAATTTGTTCAACATACTTATATATACAATTTGTTTAATTAAGAAGCGCAGTATAAACACTATAAAATATATGCCTTTAACAAATGAGAAAAAAATAAAAAACCTCAAGAAATCAAATTATATTTTCTTCATGCAAAGCAGTAAAGAAAAGATTTTAAATTAAAATAAAGAAATAACTACTATTACTAAATTAATTTAAAAAATTATGGGGAGGAAACATGTAAAATGTACATATTTCACTAATAGCTTCCATTGAAAAGTAAAATTGATGAATAAATTACTTGAAAATTTCAGAACCAATATCAAATTTCAAGTTCTAGACTAAGAAATTAAATTTTGCATAATTACAATTAGTGAAATATGTCATATTTACAACAATGTAATTTGTAACAGCATTCTTTCTGCTCTAGCAATTCAATAAAAAATATTGAATTGCAAAAAAAAAAAAATACTTAAAAAGACAAGAGAAAATCTTTCAAAATCAAAAATAATATTTATTTATTTCCTATTTACTTATGTTTAAAATGTGCTAACTCCTCAATTCGGAAAGAAAAGTGTAAAATAACACTCTTAAGAATTTTTTTTTTTGAAGTAAATTACACATGATTGTACGAGTATTACATGTGAAGCTATGGTTAAATTTTATTTGGTTAAATCAGCAAAATTGTTTTTAAAATACAGCATGAAGGCTTAAGCCACAAAATTTGCTTTTGGTGTAATTTAGAATTTGAAAACAGAAAATCACTGAATAAGCAAAAATTCTTGCATCAAAATACTTCAGTTTTTTCTGCAAATGGCTTTTAACAATACTAAGAGATGAAATTTGGAAAAAATATAACAGTGAAAAATATCATATTAGCTAATAATGCCTAAAGATAAAAAGCTACAACCTAATAAAATAAATAGCAAATTACATCAATCCAATTATATATTTCTCGCCGGTTTTCAAGGGGGGAGGGAAACAGCAGAATGAATGCAGTTATTAAATATAGGGTGTTGTGTAAATTTCACCTCAAATATATATTTTTAGAATCTTCCCAAAAATGGAGCAACAAAAACATAAATAACACTGATATACAGTAGGGAACCGATTATCCGGAACGATCGGGACCATCGCTATTCCGGATAACTGATTTTTCCGGTTTTCTGAATCGCTACAAAAAGCCGTTTTTTTTTCTTTTTTTTTGTTAAACCCAACTAAAAAAAAATTTGGGGGGGAAATAATCTTAAAAAGAAAAAACGATGGGGTAATGCACTAATGATTATTTCCAAAATGATGGTAAGGTAAACATCTTTCAAAAAAGAAAGAAAAATCCTAAAATCTCATGAGGAAAAAAAAAAATTTTTTTTTTTTAATGGTGGGAAAATTTATCGAATTTCGTTCCGGTTTTTTGGTTTTCTGATTTCCGGTTAATGGGTTCTGTACTGTATTAATATGTACATATTGAGGTTGACAAAATTAATTTATAGGAGAGGAAAACATATCATTAAAATTATTCCAAGGTACATTTAAAAATATCATGACTAGTTCGATTCTCATATAAAACTGAAAGTATTTACAATAGGTATGCTTCATCGCTTTTCATCAAACTAGTTTTCACCTTTTTAATATTGTTTTTCTCCGACTCTGATTATCATTCTTAGGATTTTAATATCGTGATCTTACCCATGAAAACTAAAATGCTGCCTATAATATTTACTTTATTTTTGGCAAGAATTCTAAAATATACATTAAGGAGAGTGATTAGAGAACACCCTATATAAACTATTTATGATGCAAATTGCTTATCAAATTAAAAGACATACTTTGACTGCAGAATTGAGACCAGCCTGCAACAGCCATAAAACACAGTGTGGATGTCCACCTTCAGCTGCACAATGCAGAGGTGTCTGGAATGTTGTTGATGATTGCATATTAATAACATTGGGTTCATATGACACAACTTGCCTTAAGCAGTCCAACTAAAAAATATATATTATCCATTACTAATTTTGCATTGTTCAAAAACTGGATAATCACAAACTAAATAACAAAATATTTATGCTATTTACTTTAAAAAAAAATCTCTGACATTTTTTCTCTTTAGTTTTATTTTATTTCATAAGAATTTTGTTAATTTTTTGAAGTTTTAAACTTTAAGATAATAATCATTATTTAATAAGTGTTTTTTTTTTCTTCTCTACATTTAGAAAATGCAGCTGATAGAGTAATCTTATCTATATATCCCCTACTTTCATAAGCATAGCACACACAAACAATCTAGAAGGGATGAAAATAAAAATTAATGTGTCCATCAGGAAAAAGAAAAAAATTTTTTAAAACAAATGTAAAAAACATAAGGACTTCGAAAGCACAATTAGTTAGTTATTAAAACCCTTTATTGTACAAATATAATTCCACTTGTTTTGAAAGTCATGGTAAGTATATCAATAAATAAAATATTAGTTATTGCACACTAATAGATGATTAACAAAAAAGAAAACAAAAAGGAAATTAATTGCCTCCTTTCTATTTTAGTCTAAGACTGTTTTTTGCTGGCTCATAGTTTTTAAAACAATTTTTAAAATACTTTTTATTAAAATAAAATTAAAAATATCACCTGCATTTTCTATTATTTTCTAGCTCCAGTTTTAATTTTTAAAACATTTAAAGTGCCATTTTTTTGCCTTCTTTCTATTTTTGTCCAAGAGACATCTTTTTTTTTTATTTTTCTGGCCATCCTTTTAGTTTTTAAAACATCGTAAGGCATCAAAAAATTATTTAGAATAAAGAATCAAAGTAAGGCATTTTGAAACATCAAAGAATTTTTTTTAAAAGAAAATGTATCATTCGTGTGCTATTTTTAAAACATATCTTTTTTTTTTCTGGCTCTCATCTTAGTTTTTAAAACATTTAAAACGGAATTTTTTTTTTTAAAAAAAAATCTGCAAAATCAATACAAAAAAAAAGAAGAAAAAAAAGAATGTCTTTTTTTTATATTTATTTTGAGGACTTTTTTCTGGCTTTCGTTTTAGTTCTCTAAACATCGCTTAAAATGCGTGTTCTTTTTTGTAAGTGACATCCATTTTTTCTAGCTATCATTATAGTTTTTTTTAGGCATCATTCAAAGAGCAAATGTTTTTTTTATTACTATTTCGTGTAGAATTTCGCAATTTCTAAACATCTTACTTATTTTTGGAATTATAACTTTCATTTTACAATCATTAGACATTTTCTGAAAATTCTATTAGCTGATTCATTATATATTACAAAAATTAAGAGCATCTTTTTTCTTAATTTTTACAGTTACAGATTTTTTTCAATAATAATTAGATTCATCAATTAATAACTTAACTATACAAAATATCATCAATTAATCATTATCTTTTGAATCTTTGTTTAAAAACTTTTTTTAAACTTTTATTTGTTTCTTATTAAATACTTTATTTTATTTTGAGCATTGACATACTATTCAGTTTTCAGCAATGAGGATTGGAAAATATACGTTATTAACTAAAACCCTTTCAAAACCATCTTTGTGAATGTCTCTTTCAGAACAAACTATCTAAACGATTACACAAATCTCCCATTTATATTCTTCTGTAGTCCCAGCTGAAATCACAATGATTGCTTTAAACTTGTTCTCGTGTATTTTGGTTCCTTGGATTAGTATCTATCTTTTTTTAATATTTTTTTTCTAGCATTAGAAATTGTTTTTACTTAATTATTTTATTTATAAGGTAAGGTTTAATTTTAGCAACTTAAAACTGATGGCTTCCAAATTCTTTTTTTCCGCGATGGAAAATGACGATTCATAACTTTTTTTTGCATTCCCTCAACGATTTTTGATGTAATGGTAAACGAAATCGCTGTGCAATGGAAAATAAAAGGTAACAACACAATGTTGAACTCAGAAAAAACTGCTGGTATCATTATCGTCATCAAAAAGCTGATCACAGAAAGTAGCAAGACGAGAATGGAGATGTAGAGGGCGAACGTTGCACCCACACTTTCTACACGGGTCAGCTTCACCAGTCGTCTTCACTAGAGCAGAAAGCACAAAGAAACAATATTTCACATTTTTTCTTTCTTTTTTTTTAACCCACGTAATGATGTTTTCATTTAACCGAAAATAACTAGAAACTAGATTAACGACTACTTCCGTATTTTCAGGAGAAGTCACAAAAACTGAAGTTTTTGCTCCATTGTAAAATAATGAAGAGGCGTGTTCGTGTTTGCTAACAAAACGCTTTTGCCCTAAAATAAATATTGGCTAGACTTTTTTGATAAACAAAAAGCTTAATAAAAATCTATAAAAAATAATACGGGTATGTTAACAAAATTATCTTAAAATACTCAACTCTTTGTTCTATGCTAGAAATAAGTGTTTTTGTATTACAAAAGAGTATTAATAATAGGACATAATATTTTGATGACAAAGCGAACAAAATCAAATAGTACTTTGATCAATAGAACAACAAGAGTTTCGTCGAAATCCATAACTAATCGGATGAACTGATTTATTATTAAACAATTTAAATAAAAAGTTAAAAACCACGATGCATAAGGAAATTTTAAAGATATGTATGTTAGCAAAAACAGCACTTCATCAGGGGACACTGTCTGCTAACACACTGGAGTCTTTCTGTAGATTTATTATTATTATTAGGGGTGTAATGAATAGTGATTCAGCCCAATACTGGATACTCAGTCAAAAAAAAAAAAAAATAGGCCGGATAGCATTTTTTAAAAATTTATTAATAAATATTTTAATGGGTTCTGTACTGTATTAATATGTACATATTGAGGTTGACAAAATTAATTTATAGGAGAGGAAAACATATCNAAAAAAAAAAAAAAAAAAATAGGCCGGATAGCATTTTTTAAAAATTCATTAATAAATATTATGTTTTATACATTAATAAGCTTCACCATTATTGAAAAATAATCAAAACTTAGCTGTATTGTTGGTATGCAGTAAATGCAAAAATATTAACAGAAATGTTTACGATAATTAAAAATTTTAAAGATAATTTAAATTAAAAATACTAACAATAATTAAATTAAAGTCGGAAAAAAAGAGAAATAGAAAAAAACATATCCTTAAAACAAAACCTTATCGCTAAAAATAGTATTTCGCTGGAAAAATGATATACGAAGCTTTAAAAGAGATAATGTTTTACAGAAACGCTTTTAAAAATGTATCGCTATCATATAAACGCCCATAATTTTTTTTTTTTAAAAAAGGAGAAAAAGATCATATACAAGAGTAAAACAGAAAAAATAAAAATCGGTCTTAATTCTTGAAAGAAAATTTTAAAGCTAAGCATTTCAGTTTTCCTATATCGTATTTTCAAGAAAAAGTAAAGATTAAAGTCTATTAGAATTGCTCTAATTACAGCGTTATTAATAAAAACTCCTATAAAAGGATTATCTTTTTTTGAAAAATAAAAGCTAGATAAAACCAAAACGAAAATAGTTTTTAATTTTTAAATGAAACTAAAAATCTCAATTTTACTTTTTCACACGGCCGTATTTTTAGAAAAAAGTTCATCCTTGGTAATCAGCAGAGCAGAAAAAATACCCCTCTTTTTTAATGTTTCAAAATTATTTGGACGCTCTTGAAGGGGTAGGAGAGGGCTCCTGAAATTGTGAGTTTGTGACAAGGGAGAATAGAGAAACAAGAAATATGAGAACGCACATTCTGAATTTTTATTATCCAATTAAATGTTTATCTAAACTACATTTAACAATAAAAAATCGGGAATGTGAATTTTTCACTTTTCCAATATAGTACAAGGTTCCGCGGTGTGTTTCGATTACGACACACCATGGTACCCTCTTCAATCGAAGTTATTCAAGCAGAACCTATTCCTCATTACAGAGTCACGTTACTTCAGATTTTTTGTGAAAAATTGAAAACAAACAAATTCATACGAAACCTTTTTTTTTAAAAAAAAAAGAAAAAGAGTAGGTATTTTTGTAAAAAAGGGTGTTCCGATTTCGTGAAAAATCTAATAAATTTCTGCATTTAAAATTACTGCAGATGTTAATGAACTGCAGATGTTAAAATTACTGTCGAATTATTTTCTAATTTTTCTAGCCTGATTTTTTTAAGTATGCTGCAATATATTTTGTGATGAGGAGAAAAAAACAGTCATTCAAGCAATTGTAAGTTGAAAATTATGAAATAAAGACATTATAGACTATGTTTTTCAAAAGAAATTAGTCCAGAGGGTCATTTTTATAAAAACAATAATACGTGAAAGAGTTCGTTTTTGCTGTAAAAATTTGGGAAGATTCAAAGGAACAAAAAACAAAGTTGTAATAGTAAAGAAACTCCAGATTATAACTTATCTTATAATATACTGTTGTTAGAGTTAATATAAATGTAACGCGTGTTGATAAGGAAAATTTAAATCACGTTTAGAAAATTTCCTATGAAAACATAAAACTGTGTCTTTTTGTTATTTAAAAAAATATCTAAAAACAATTTAATAAGTTATTGTTGTAATAAATTTATTATTTTCAATCATAGGTTCCCAGCCTTTTCTGAATCACTGCCAATCTGCCAGTCAAAAAATTTTCAATGCCCCCTTAAAAAAATGAAGAAGAAAAAAAGAATGTAAACAAACCACCAAAGTATTTTTAATTAGAAACTCTTTTTATTATACTAATTTGGATAAAAACAGATCAAATGCAAAAATTTTAATTGTGTATGCATAAAAATAAGACACTTAGCAACTTAAACGAAATGTTTAATTAAATATTTTTTTCATGAACAATAATGGAAATTTAGTAAAGTCGTTTATGATTTTTATTGCCATTTTAAAATCAATTAAGTGGGTAATTTAATTATAGTATTTTGTGAATTAAAAACTTTTTTTACAAAAAAGATAAGCACTTTAAATAACAGGACTGCTTTAATAATAAACATTATACTCTGAGTTAAAAAAGCAAATAATTCTTTGACACTAAATTAAAAAAATTGATGAATTTATAATATGTATTCTATTTTAACTTCATCTACAGTTTGCAAACAGTGCTCTAGAAGTTCTTAACACCCCTAGATATCCATAACTTCCCTATTATAAGTCTTCTCTGCTCACCTGAAGAACACAGCACCCATCTTGGTTCTAGAACAGGGTCTCTTAAATTTTGTTACAACACCTGTTTGTTTGACCCCATATTTACCAAAATTTTGTTGAATCTCATAAGCAAAACCAATAAACGTGTAAGTAAAACTTTCAATTTTTTCACAGGAACTGTAAAATACTATTGCAGTTTTAAGTCTTTAATTTTAAGACATAGAAGAATGTGTAAATTTAAAATAAGTAAAAAACTTAAAAATGTAATATACTAAAAATGTGTTGAAATGTGTTAGTTTTTTTTTTTTTTTTTTTTTTTTTTTTTTTTTTTTTTTTTGTTGTCTGTTTTGTCAAATTAAAGAAATACCAAAATTGCTAAAAATTTTAGTGTTCCTTGCTGTAAGTCCCCTGATCCTAATTGGGATCTGTACCTACAGTTTAAGAAACTCTGATCTAGCTAATATGTAAACTTAACATAAACTTAAAGGTTTGATTCACCAATAAATACATTTTTCTTATAGAAAAACATGAAATCTCTTCAGTTTCCAATTTTAAATTACCTATCAAATTTTAAAATTTTCTTAACCATGCCTATTTCTTTTGTGATACAAAAACAATCAGATTAGAATTAAAAAAAAGCTGTAAGGTAGTTGTAATAGAATCATAATAATAAAAACATATATTTATTAAAAATGCATTTTTTTTTGTATGCATACATCTTGAATAATTTATTTTAAGCAATACTTATACTAAATCATTTTATTGGAGAAAAAAAAAAGCGTAATTTTAAATTACATCAAATTGCTAAAATTTCTTTAAAAAAATTGCAAATTGCCTGGCAAAGTAATTTCTTAATAGCATAGAATAGAGAAAAAAGTTAAGCATCAAACATAATCATCATATTTTACTATTTAGAAATTTTTTGACTTAATTTTGAAATGTTACTTCTTCATGAATGAAGTTAATATTATTTTCATCATGTCACATTCTAACTATCTTTTCCTTTATTGAATTTAAAACATAAAATACGTAAAGTAAAGTATCATTACAGATCAGCACTAGTAACACTAATTAGTTCATTTTTGGAATAGCATAATTTATAAATATATTTTGATAGATATGATATAAAAATATTGTTTATAAATGAAATATTCATTAAGTCCTAATTATAAAGGCTGACGTCAATTTAGAAATACTCATTCTTTAATAAGTTAAGGTATAACATCAATATAAAACTTAGAAGTAGGCAAGAATTTACATTAGTTTCAAATATCTCAAAGATATCTTTATAGATCAGAGAAAATATACCTATTAAAAAATAAAACATTTTACCAATAAGTAAGAAAATAAGATTGTGGAAATTTTAAAAATTTACTCCTATAAGAAATTTAGACCATATGTAACAAAACTTTCTGAGATAAGACATATATACTATGTGCTACATAGCCTGAACAATTATTCATTATAGAAAATTATAGCAATTTTTGTTATTTATAAATACATTGATTCTGATTTTAAAAAAAATGCAAGATTTATCATTCTAACTGAACACATATAAAAGACATTTGATAAATACATACAGTTTTACAAAACTCAAGTTTTAAAACATCAAAAATATTTGTTTCTGATAAGGCTAAAACGTTTAAGATGGAGAAGTTTTTTCCCACAAATATTAAAATTACGAAAGCAAGTTAAAATTTGCAAAATATAATGTCTGTTTAACATGCACTGGTTTAATTCAACAACCAACGTTAAATAGTTAAAGATAAAAAATATATACTTGAATTAGAATATTAAATTCAGCAGGAGAAAAAACGTGCTTGAATAATATCTTTAAGTTTCTAATTTTATAAATGTGCTTTTTTAAGGCTCCGTGTAGGAAATATTGAACATATTTACATATAAATACAAAACACAAAAGACTCACATGACCAGAATAAGCCGCCCAATGAACAGCAGACCAATTCTTTAATGGATCTTCAACAACTAAAAGATATTTATTGGAATTAAGCAAATTAGTAATACTTGGTACATCACCATCTTTGCATGCTTTGTGCAAAGGATACATATTAAACTCCATTATTTTTCTGGTAAGGAAAAATCTTTCCTTATATATTAAAATAAAAAAAAGAAAATTTAACTTTTAAAACAAAAAATAATATAAAGCTTTTGATTAAGAAGTTTACTAATATGTAAACTTTAATTCAAATTTGAAGAAAACTCTATTACAGTTGCTCTAGCAAAGAGATTTTGCCGCGAAATAACGCAAGCGCAAGCAAACGTATTTGAAAATATACAACAATGCGGCGGCTTGGCACGACTTGCAACATCCGGGTCCTTACAAGTTGCCAAATCTGTAGAATTATTTCGCCAAATAATAAACAAGATTTCGCGGTTTTTCTGAAAATATCTTTGAACTGATTTATATTAACGTGTTCTTCTACTTCTGTTGCTCAGTCAAAAAACTAAAAATAGAGTAGAGATTTAAAAAGAGGAAAAAGTTCGTCGAAAATAATTATTCCTTTCGATACGAAAATTAAGAATAGTATAAATAAATAAATTTAAAAAAAACGGAACAAATTTTGAATTTCAGTTACAAGCGTAAAATTAATTTTTAAATCGTTAAAATTATAGAAAACATTTTAAAGAAAATAATCGAAAAAATATGTCAAAATCTAAATACATACCGTAAAATGCTTCAAATAAATTTNAACGCAAGCGCAAGCAAACGTATTTGAAAATATACAACAATGCGGCGGCTTGGCACGACTTGCAACATCCGGGTCCTTACAAGTTGCCAAATCTGTAGAATTATTTCGCCAAATAATAAACAAGATTTCGCGGTTTTTCTGAAAATATCTTTGAACTGATTTATATTAACGTGTTCTTCTACTTCTGTTGCTCAGTCAAAAAACTAAAAATAGAGTAGAGATTTAAAAAGAGGAAAAAGTTCGTCGTAAATAATTATTCCTTTCGATAAGAAAATTAAGAATAGTATAAATAAATAAATTTTAAAAAAAACGGAACAAATTTTGAATTTCAGTTACAAGCATAAAATTAATTTTTAAATCGTTAAAATTATAGCAAACATTTTAAAGAAAATAATCGAAAAAAGATGTCAAAATCTAAGTACATACCGTAAAATGCTTCGAATAAATTTTTTTCTTCTTTTTTTTTAAAAAAATATATATGAACGCTTGCTAAGAAAAAGGGGTCAACAAATTAATAATTAAATTGTGTTTTTAAATTATTATTATTATTTTAACTTATAACAATTATTGTTTGTCACGCGTCGTATTGAATTTACTTTAGTTCATAAATTGAGAAAAAAACCTTTCATTTTTTTAAAATGAAATATTTTAATTAATTATTTTCCCCCCATCAATTTGGAGCTATAGCTTTCTTCTTAATACTTAAAAAGAAAATTTAAAAAATTTTGGATACTGAAAAAAAAATTTTTTTTTTTCCGTTTCTATGATTATGTAGTAAGAATAAAGTGCGATTTTTATTAATTTTTTGTGTTATAATCTATTGTTAGGTCAAAAATATTTGATTTAGTAAATCTAATTAAACTTTTAAAATTGTTTATGAAAATTTCAAGTGCACACATAAAAAAATATTTCTTAGAAAAAAATGAAATATTTACATACAATTTTTGAAACATTTTAATGAATATTTAACCTGCTTACGCCTTTCTAAACAACTGCTGCAAACGCATCATGTATTTTTATCCTTTATTTTAAGCCGAGAGGCACAATTTAGTATATGGGCAATAATAACTTATATCAATCCTGATTTATATATTAACTAAAGACAAAGTAATATTCACAGTTGTCATTTAAAATTTATTGCGTTCTCAAGACAGTTTTGTGACAAGAAGAGATAACAAATTTAGCGCCAATGCAGAGGTATGTTTCGCATACTTTTACTTTATAAAAAATATATGTAATTTAAATAAAATAAAAAAGTTATTGTAATAAATTTTAGTAAAAAGTACTAAACTATTTTATTCTTATAACTACTTGGAGTTAAATATCTTCTTGAAGTTGAGCCTTTCAAACATTTTCTAAGTAGGGGTAATGATTATATTTTTAACCTGTATATTAAACCTATTACTGATAGGCGGTCGGAGGTTTACGCTCCCGATAAAAATTAAAAAAGAAAAAAAAAACATTTTCGGTATAAATTCAAAATACATTTTCGTATGAAAAGTCTAAATAAATAAATGAGAGCCGCGATGGTTCAGGTGATAGAGCGTTCGCCTTCCAATGAGGCGAACCGGGTTCGAATCCCAGTCGATACGAATTCCGCATCCGGCTTGCACTGACCACAGTGCTGACGTGAAATATCTTCAGTGGTAAACGGATCATGGGTTAGAGTCCCCTTGCCGTTAGGCTAACCGTGGGAGGTTCTCGTGGTCATCCTCTCCATGTAACGCAAATGCGGGTTAGCTCCATCTAAAAGTCCTCCACGAAGGCAAATTTCTCCCATTACTTGAACCAGCAGTTCCCTTGTCTTCTGGTTTGGGTTCAAAATTAAAAGGTTACGGAGTTGATTATTAGTAGTCGTAAACCCATAATATTGGGTCGGCTGTTCAACGACGGTTATAGTATATTATAAAATAAATAAATGAGATGAAAAATATACTATCAATCAAATTTCTGACTCTTTTTCTTTTTTTTAATCGTCGAACAAATTTAAAATTAATGCTATAATATTCTATACAAACATTACTATTATATTAAACATTACTTTTATTGATTGTCTGCATCGAAAATATAGAGGTTTGATATATATTCATTTTTATTTTTCCTTCAATCAAACTTTCAATCATTTATCAAAGAAAAAAAATTTCTAATCGCTTCGGAGGGAGATGTACGTTACTTAATTTTCGCCAATAAAGCAATAACGGACTTAAAAAGATAAAAGCATTATTAAGAGCAACAAATTGATTGGCTGCTAGACATTTTACAGGTTGAACTCCGGGAGCAATAAAAAATTACAATTTCATAAGTGAGTGAAATCGGATGGTTTTTCAAGTTTTATTGCTAAATCGTTATTAAATGTGCATTAAAATTCAATTTTTATTTACAAATATTTTTTTGCGAAGGAACAAAATAAAAGTATTTTATTTCATACACTATTGTATTTTGTCTCCTCCCCCCTCCTCTTGTATGTTAGAGTTATGAATATGCATTTTTAACATCACTGTAGCCAAGGGGGATGGTGAGCCATACAAAGCAAAATTATTTGCCTTCCCCATAAAACTTTTAAAAAAAGAAAGAAAAAAAAATCAAATAAATTTGTTATTTTTACTAGTGAAATCATTAATTACACTAATTGAAATATTTATTTGTACTAATATTTACTAAACAAATCTAGAAAATATGTAATAAAAAAATCGAAACTAGACGAAAATTTATCAATTAAAACAGATAGAATGCCACCGGCCGCTTCAACTGCAATTAAAAAAATCAAATTCTGATTACAAATTTAATTTTTTACTGGTGAGAATTATCACATAAACGAAAATCTAAATTATTACTCTCATTTATGGATAATATCGCAGCTGTTTAAGAGACAATTGCTTGATTTTTATAGAACAATAGTAATGAAAAATAGAATTAAACACACATGAAAGAATTTATGAAAAATAAAAATTTTGTGTAATAATTTTTAGCCTTACGGCAAGAATAAATTATGCTGGGCATGAAAAAGATTTTATAAATTAATAAAAATTAAGTAGGTATAGTTCAGATCTTTGCGTAGGTTTTTTTTTAAACTAAACTTTTTTGTACAACCTCATCTTACAATACCGAACGATTTAATATTTTCCCTACATCGTCATTACTGCGTCAAAATTTACTTTATACATTGCGAATTTCTAGTATTTTTACAATGATTTTGATATTTAGAACTGTTGCATAAAAAATATGCAATCCCTACTTCTTCTTCTTAGAAGACAAAATTTGCTGGTAAATTTAATTTGCATAGGCGTAGCGTCCAAGCGAGGCACGTGCCCATTCAGTATTTTGCCAAAATGCAAATTTTTTCTGAATTGATTGCATAATTAAAAAACAAATTTTATAGCTGAGGAAAAGTTAAGATTATTACATCCACTATCCCATTTTTTTTTAAAAAAAATTCTAATATTCAAATCTTCTCATTATTTTTTTACTTAGTTCGGATTCATCAAAGATAAAAGGTCACTTTTAAAAAGAGAAAGATATTTTAAATTATTGACTTAATGATCGTCTGCTTCAAGAAACGTTTTAGGTATTTTGTTCCATGTACTTACTCATGGGCGCTGGTAAAAGCAGCTGTTTGAAAAAGCAAGTGAACATCTGTCATTTTTTCAAAATAAAGTAAAAGAGATCACACCGAAGGAAATTAAAAAATAAAATCGATTATTTTCATAAGGCCTAATTATTATTGAATTCAATTATCTAAATAAGAATTTATTAAACAAAGCTTTAATTTTTTTTTCGCTAGTAATGCTTATTTTTATTTTTGTAAAAAAAGTTTCTAGTTACATAATTCAAACGCACACATTTAGTGCCTAGTATTTGTCAATTTTTGTTGAATAATTTGATTCTTATGAGCTTAAATATCAGCTGTCATAATTATCTTCTTTTTTTATTTTTATTTCTAAATAAATGCTTTCGTTTTGAACTGACTTTTTTCTTGATTTAGAATAATTTATATTTGAATTCTATGACTTAATGTCACTTACTTTAATTCATTCACTGCTTGGTGTCTATGAAAAAGATATCAAAATTTCTGTCTTCTAGTAAAATTAAGTTTTCTCATGTCCCTTGTTATGTTAAAAAATGATAATCTATCAAAAATAAAGTTTCATTATTTTCGGAACTATATAAGGCCATAATTTCCATATAATATGCGCTAAGTGTGTTTTCAAATATATTTTTCGCTTCAAATCATGTTTTTGCTAGTATTTTATTTCACTAACTTTTTATTTTTAATTAAACGAAATATGACATGGGAAATCGTCTTAAATCTCTCATGGGTAATCGTCTTTTTTCAGAAAAAAAATATTCTTTTTTTTTTTTCTTCAAGGAAACTTTGAAGCAATTATACGTTTCTACCAGGATATTGGAAGTTTCGAAATGCTCTCGGGGTAAATTCTCTGTACAATTTAGTAAATGCTTAAATAAAATTTTATGCATTTTGGTTTTAGCGTAAATAATTGAGTTCGCATATTGACTACAGTTTCAGTTGTTACTTTAAGTTAGCATTTTGAAGTAATTATAAGCAAACTAACTTTATAATTACTTTAAAATCTTGCAATTTTTT